CTTTAGCTATTTTTTGAGATAAAAATAAAAAATATTTGTTAATAAAATTAAAAACTTTTATATGTAAGAAAAATCATGTATTTTACTAATTATAATTAGTAAAAAATTTAAGCGTTGCATTACTTTTGATGGCCACTGTAAGTAAGTGATGAGTTACAAATATTCAAGTAATTCTATTATATTCAAGTTGGATAATCAGATAAGAATATATCAAATAATTATTAAGTAATTTTGTAATATATTCTCTATTTCTTTTGTATTTAAGTTGATTCTGATTGAAAATATCTAGATAAGAGATTTATATTAGAATGAATTTGATTTTTATGATATTTAATCTTAAAATTATAATTTTTTAGAGTCAAAATTCAGTATACAAATTTTTTAAAAATTTTTGATTTATTAAATAAACTCTTCAAAGTATTATAATTAGTTATCAAGATAAAAGGAATATTAGAATATAAGTATAATCTAAATAGTTATATTGTCTAAACTACTGCCAAATATTTTAATTCAATAGTATAATAATTCTTCTCAGTATTATTTATTCTTTTACTAACATAAATAATTACATATTCTATATCTTTATCATCTTTTTGTACTCCACTTGGATTATTCTCAAAATATATTTTACTTTATTTCTCTTCCGTAAAAGTTGCTGTGCATGTTATAATTAAAATCTCAGTCTAACGAAGTTTGAATTTTTTAAGTTTGGTAATTCGTTATTAACAGCAATCTTGATATAACGAAAATTCTGGATTTTATTAATAATAATCCGTTACATTGTGTTCTGTCTGCATATATTGTTTAATTTTCAAAGTGGAATATAAAAGAATCAAATGAAATGGGTTATGCGACACTTGACGCAGTATTATCCTTCACTAGCGATGACAAATATGAAAACATAAAAAATATTCCTCCTTCAGGCTCATCGATTTTGATTAAAGATACAATTGGAGCCGAAGGTGGATTTTTAATCCATCATTTTTTGGTTAATCAACTGAAAGCGGAAAAACATGTGGTGTTGGTTAGTTTAACGCAAGATATGCAACATTATGCTATCATCGGACGAAAGCTGGTAACGTAACGAGGAAGGGAAAATTCCTCGATAAATCGATCGCCACTTGCAGTTGATGTATAACTGAATCTTTAAAATCAATCTTTAGGGCGTAAACCTTCAAATAGCCCAGCAAAAAAGCATATTTTCAAATATTGATGGATTGACTCATTTATATACCACCGCATCATCATCTTCTATTGATTCAACGATAAACTCACCTTCTGCTACTATCTCGGCTAATTTAAGACAACAATCGTTGATTTCAGATGCTGTTCTAACAAACTCTGATTCGTCTTTATCATCTCCGCCACTTTCACATATCTATTCAACAATAAAATCAGTGATTAACACACGTCATAATGTCCCAAATGCCCGACTGGCATTGATCTTTGATGATTTGTCGGTGCTATTATACGCTGGATGTAATGTATGCGATTTGATAGATTTTTTTAAGGCTTGTCGGTTATTATGTCAGAAGGTGATTTATTAGTTTATTTGTGTGATAAAATTTAACAGTCGATACTAATCTGACCATTTGATTATTTATTGTAGCAAAATGGATCACTGATAACTCTTATTCACGCTGACGAAACAATAGATCCGATAATTTCCTCAGCGGATGAAGAAAATGCCCGGCAAGAAAACCTGTTTATCAAGTCACTTCAGTATCAATCTGAATATATTCTTGCAGTACGCGGTTTAGGATCTGGATTTTCAAGAGATGTTTCAGGGGAGGTACTAAGGCCACTTTTTTCTCACTATTATGTACGAACATGCGAGTTAAGGTGCTCACTTTTTTTATATCATAGATTACATTGGCAAGAGGCCCACGAAATTTTGATCTCGAGTACAGACCGACCACATTACAGTACAAAATTCTTGATAATAATGTTCAATTTTTTGCGAGAGGATTTTCTCAGGGTGTTTTATGATTAATTACATACTTTCAGATGAAATTAACCAAAAATTATTAACTATTTAATTATCTTTCTGCAATTTACATGTAATTTAGAAGTTTAATTCTTTGTTCCGTCAAATAATAAGTAATAAAATGAGAAAATTGTTTTTTGATTTATCTTAAAATTATAGTGATATAAATAAGCATCAGCTTAAGTTTTAGCTTTTTTTTTAATATCCTGTATTGGTTCCTCTCGCGGACGCTTCTTTGGCTGTGTCTTTTTCAAATCAAAAGATACGCGTTTCTTAATAGTTTTAAAAAAGATGAAACCTCATATCGTTTATTATTTCTTTATATATACCTTGTTGGATGCTTGGATCATATTATTATTAATGGGATTAGTGTTTGTAAGTGGAACTGCGCTACGCTGTTGATTGATGGCTTGAAGTTTTGCAGCGTGGTTGGATAGAATTATGTTTTTCCGTACAGATCTGATTTCATCCGAGGCAAATCCTGGGATTCTGATATTAAAATTTCGATCTATAACGAGGTTTAACATAAGAGTTCATAACGTTAAAGACTAGTCAATAAATATCAATGTAATAAAAATAAAAATTTACCAAGATATAGTTGCACATCTTTGACTTCCAATTGCTTAGAGCGCCTGTGTATCGCGGATAAAGCTCCGCCTTCAGCTACTGATTCAATAAATTCGTCCGCAATCTCTAATAAAAGCTGGTATAATAACAATGTATACCAATAATTAGTCAACGTATATGCATAACTAAAATACAATAAGGTAATAAATACCTTTTCAACATCCGGATGGACTCTTTCATTTGGATCAATCTCTGCAACTAAATCCTGAATCTTTCGACTTGTTACAAGTTCATCACTTGTTATATCCATATTAGAAGATAGAGGAATTGTAGAATGAGCAGGAAGGGGCGCGTTCATTGTCATTACAGTTGATGTGGAAGTGGGAGGTAAGGTATTAAGCGGTGGTGCACTTGCTATTGGCTGTTGTGGCTTTGGCTGAACAATTGGTTTTTGCAAAATTTCCGTTTTGGGTGTTATAATTGGAGTTGATACGGAAGATTGAGGTTGTAAAGTCTGAGTTGCGGATTTTATTGCTATTGTATGCCCAGGAGCTATAGATTTAACTGTCGATGAAGTTTCTTGATCTTGTTGTATTGGTTGTTGAGATTGTTTTTGTTGTTGTTGCGCCTGTTGAATTTGTTGCTGTTGAATTTGTTGGAATTGTTGTTGTCGTTGTTGCATCTGTTGTAAATTTTGTTGCTGTTGTTGAATCTGTTGCAATATTTCATGAAACATTTTTGTTTTTTCATTCAATTCATTTTCTAAAGTTTGTCTGACATTAGATGCTAAATCAGATTGTTGTAACCTTTGTCGAATATCTCGAATTTGATTTGACAATTCATTCTGTTGAGTTGTCATTGGAGCAGTTTGAGGACTAGAAGGCGCCATTTGTGACTGCTGCTGTTGCTGTTGCAACTGTTGTTGAAAGTGGTGATGTCGAACAACTTGAGCTTGTGTCATTGTTGATGGCACTGAAGGTCCATACGGAGGACGAACTGGTTGCTGTTGCAAATGCTGGTATGTCTGTTGAGGAATATATTGTGAAATTGCGGATTGACCACGAGTAAAATGTGGTGGAAAGCCCGACTGTTGTTGTAACTGTATTTGCTGTTGCTGCTGCTGCTGCTGCTGCTGCTGTTGTAATTGCTGCATTTGTGAATGTGGTAATCGTTGCTGTTGTGGCAATTGCACAAACTGCTGATTCATTTGCTGTGGCATTATTTGTGTTGTACTCACAACTCCACCTCCAGTTGCAGCCCCAGCCCCTCCATTCCCACTACCACGTCCTCGTCCTCTTGCTGCCTTCTTTCCTCGCATGCTTGGACTAGAAGTAACAGGGATTCCTTGTCCTCCTCTCACCTGACCTTGAGGTTGTGACTGTAATGACGCGCCAACAGCATTATCTTGTTGCTGTCCTTGCGATGATATATGACCACCACCTGGTAATGCCAGATTATTTGGATTCATTGTTGAAGGTGTTTGTGATTGTTGTGATGATTGTTGTTGTTGAGACATTTTGGTGAAATTCTGAATTCACAGCGTGTCAAGTGTAAATAAAATTTCCTAGAATCTAAAATGTTATATGCATGTCGATAATGTGACCACTATTTCCGGAAATAAAGGAAATAAACTGCGTCACCTGATTTAACGCTATTGAAATTATATCGATTGGATATTTATATTTATATTTATTTACAATTAGTTTACCTGTTAATTCGATGATCAATTAAAAAAATAAATCCCAAATTAATATAAAAATCTCAAGATCAACGAATTTATAGTAACTATTACTTTTGATCCCCCATGTTTCCCAATTAACCACTATTCTTCTGTCACCAAGCTTTTAGCATGCTTTCTACCCTTCGTAAGAAATCATCAGTGAATGCACCAGAGATTTGTTGCTGTGGCTGCATCGTGGCGTCTTCTGAATCAATAGACATAAAAGAGGAATCAAGTGCCATAGAATCAAAGTTAATTTCATCGGCCAAATGAGGATTTTTAAGATCTTCACCTCCTTCCTCAGTCGATGGTGTTAATGTTGATGATGGATCGTGCTCATCGATTCTTGTGGTAGATTCTGAATTAGGTGGTGGTAATGGTGATTCGATAGACTGATTTGGTAAGTGAAGGTTACCAGTTGTTTGCTGCTGTTTCTTGCCAGGATAAAGCCAAGGCATACGCCGACCAAGTGATTTGATAAGTTTGTCCAATTTTGTTTCTTCGATATCTTTACGCCAATATTCCTGGAAATTTACACGTTCTTTTGACGTGCGATATTCTTCAACAAGTTTTAGCTATGAAAACATTAGTTATTGTTATTCAAGATGGCAGCGAGATTTAATATGTAGCTTATGAGTTAACCGAAATAAATAAAACCTACAAGCTCATCGGCTTCTTGTTTAGAGAATTGATCATTATTAAACAATTCATAAGCCAATTGTTTCGGTTGGCCGCGTTCTTCAAAATTGTTGCTCACATAATACCAATTAATCACTGAGAGAGAGCTCGGAAGTTTTGGATCATAAGGACCTTATTTGAATGTACAGAAAATTTATTGAAGAATAGTCAAATGCATCAAATAATTAAAAATGCGCCATTGATAAAATATTATTACCAATAATAGCACCCACAAACGGTTCCTCATTCATATTTTCATCTCGAAAAAGATTTTGATAGTTTTTCTGATTCTCAATATCCACAATTGACGGATCTGGAACAAAAGTAGGATGCGAGTGATACCACCCAACGACTCGCATGTTGCGCGCCTGGATGGCTTCACGAACTTCCGTTTCTGAGGTTGGATCCATCTCCACGTTCACATGGTCTTGGCCTGTCGCAAGTGAACGACATGGGAATGTTGCTTTGATGATTAATTCTATACGAAATGGAATGAGTTTTATTGACATATAAGTAATAATAATGATGATGATAATATATATATAGGAATTAAAAAATATAATCAATAAACTCTATCTACTCTTCTCCTCAGGATGCCAATGTCCCGCCAAAAATCCAATAATTTCGGTCTGCATAAGGTGTGCATGGAAATCCATCGCAAGCAAGACATTCGATTCCACAATAATAGAAAAAGGTTGGCATCCATGAACATTAGAATTTGGGGCACCGCAAAAAGGTTCGCATTTTACCATTGTTAAAGGATCACTCAACGAGTAAAACAGTTAATTAAATGAGCAAGTTTGATACAATGATAAAAAAAGAAACAAGTATATTCATGATATGTTTTATCCATATACATACGTCTCATTACCATCAATTTGTGTAAAATTGATAGATGGCCTTTCTCTAATATTACGCAATCTGCTTTTGGCGTACTCTGTTCGACCATCCGAACCATAAGCGTTATCAGTATTATTAGAACTATATGAGGTGACTTCTTGTGTGATTCTTGGCTCTTTGCGTTTATATCTTCAATTTATATATACAAATATATGTGAATGACCAGGAATTAATTAACACTAAACAGAATGCATATAAATATATATATATATACACTCACAACTTTGGTGCTTTCTTTTCCTTCTCTTCCTTTATTTTCGAGATTTTTGAAGATTGAACAGCTTTTTTCCCATTTGGTGTGGTAGACGCACTCGTTGGAATTGGTGCGTCAGGACGAGGCCCATGTGAGCTTTTAGGCGTTGTAGTACCAGATGGTGGTGAGCCAGAGCCCGTTTGTATAGGAAGTTCGTTTCGAGACTTCATTCTACTAAGATATGGTTTTGCCGCTGCAGATTCGGGGTCAAGATCTTTTCCTGATAAAGTATAGCCACAACCAGATTCTTGAACCTGTATTATCGTATATAAATGAAATATCGATTTTACAGAAGTTCTATTTGGAATATTTGTATTCTTACTTTAAGTGGCAAAGGAATTCCATCGCGAAACAATTTGATGAAATGTTTTTGAGCATGACTTCTTATCGAATTTGGATCTCTAGTTCCAATATGTTCCGCAAGCTAAGCAACGTAAAAAATCCAATTAAATATATGTTTAATCATAAAAACTATCGCAGAAATCTTACTTTTTGCCAATCGCGACCCCAACGTTCCAACGCTTCCAGGAACAAAAATTCTTCCCGCTCCGTATAAGTCCCACTATTCATACCGGGATTCTTTGGCCTTGCTACTTTCTCTTTACGCTTTTTTACTTCTCCAACTTCGATCAACGATGGAGACTCATTTGTGGGCAAAGAAGATTGATCTTGATGATTCCCTTTATCCAATTCTTGGTTGGCTGGTGGTTTCAATTCCAATTCTTTTCCAATCATCACGAATGACGACGATGATGCTTCTTGTGTTAATGGCTTGTCAATCGTAGTGGCTTCCGGCAGCGGCGCCATCTGCTGCTGTTTATTATGTATTGCGTTATCATTAAATTCCTTTTGCGATGCCATGTTTTCGAGTGCATTTGCTAAAGTGCCGATTGTGCCGGTATTCTCGGGCAATTTGTTGGTAAGATTTTCGAGATTATGATCGGCATTATCGGAATCGAGTTGTGCCTTGCGTTTTCTACCACGCGTGCTTCCTGTCACTAAAACAATTCAAAAATTTGATAAATATAAGCTATGCATTATTATGATTTTGTCTTGGACTTTACTTTGATATAGTAGATAGCAGCTGTATACATATAACCTTGATAAAAAAATACACACATAGATTCTGCACAAACCTGCTTTCTTACTTCGACTAACTGGCTTATTTCTAGCACCAGGCGTATAATCGTCATCCTGTTCCATATTATCTGACTCGTAATGTGGCTCATAAAAAATACTATGATACTCGGTGTAGTACGGGTGCTCATCCATATATCCGTCTTCCTCGGCCAACAACTGCGCAATATACGCTGACGACATTTCCTCTTCTTTTTGTTTGGTTAACGTTGTTTCATTATTATTACGAACTGTTGCTGATGCTTCATGTCGATGACGTTTAGCCAATGGCTCGTCAGTGGTATTAGTGGTGGTTGGACGATTTTTTGGAGGCATGATATCCTATAATGTTAATCTTGTTTTAAACAAACACGCGTGTGGAATTATTACGCGGGCACCTACTCCTAAAGTGGGTTAGATGTATAATTGAATTGTAATTTTCGCCTGATATGGAACAAATTGTGCAAATGTCGAGATAACTCAAATTTTGTTTTATTTCGCCCCACGCGTTGTAATTTGAGCCCTTGCAACTGATAAGGGAAAAATAGCGCGTCCTTTTTTATACGAAATCACATGATATTGTCAATATAATATGGTCGAAGTCAGGTAGGAATGTACACATTTTTTTGCCGTGAGTCATACCTATCAACTTTGATTGAAATGAGTCATACCTATCACGATCACGATGAATGAATTGAAGCGGAATTTAAAGACTTTGAGCTAGGTGCCAACGCAAGGATTGCTTCGGATGTATTTGAGGTTAAACTTTATCTTTCCTTATGCCCTAAGCATCTTCTGGTTGCTTCTGGCATAAACTTCTGGTTCGCGATGACAAGCAAGAGCATTTTGGTTGGAAGAATTGGAATCCGAGTAAATAACTGCGATGTTTCAGAATTTCTCCCTTATTTAAGTTATCTTCGGAAAAAGTCACCAGCTGTTATCAATTTTTGGAACGAAAAAGAAGTTATCAAAACTGCATCTTCACATATTCGGGCAGTCAATATATTTTTAAATTTTAATTATTTTTACTTTATAATAAACAAATATCTTGTTATAATTATTTTTATTATAATTGTATTTTATAAAGAATTTTATTAAGATATATTATAAAATGGATAATATTAAGTATTAAAAATATAATATTTTATTTATTAATTTTTTATTGAAAATTATAATTTAATTTAAAAAATACAAAAATTTAATAAAAATATTTTTAATAAAGTCCAATTAGAACCATATAAAAATTTATATATATATATGATCTGGTACAAAAAGATTGTTACATCAAATAAATATTAATAGATCATTTTTTCAAAATAAAATTTAATTCTGTCTTATTTAATTAAGTTATTAGGTATTGGAATTTGTTTAAATATAAAAATTTTTATTAAATATCTTTATAAAAAAAATTTTACTAATATAAACTTTTTTGAATTATTATTTCTTAAATTTTACTATATAAAATTTGATTAA